CTTGAAAAATATCAGTCTTTATAACGTTATCTGTCCTTGATAACACCTTAGCAACTGTGCCATAAAAAAAAAAAAAACGCAATTGACTTTACATTGGACATACTAACAACACACCAATCCAAACTAAATTCATACTAACGATATACTAATCCATACTAGCAACATGTAAGTAGTGCAGTAGGTAGTGCTGTCGCCTCACAGCAAGAAGGTCGCTGGTTTGAACCTCGGCTCAGTTAGCATTTCTGTGAGGAGTTTGCATGTTCTCCCTGCGTTCGCATGGGTTTCCTCCGGGTGCTCCGGTTTCCCCCACAGTCCAAAGACATGCTGCAGATGAATTGAGTAGGGTAAATTGTCCGTAGTGTGTGAATGTATGAGTGTATAAGGGTGACAGACCCAGACGACAGGCCGGCCGGAATGTGTAAAAAAAGTCGATATCATATGGACAAGTCTAAATGGAGGACTTATTCCAAAATAGCCGACCCCGCAACCATACTAAGGCCAAAGAAGAGGAAGAAGACTAGCAACATGCCAATTCATACTAAAAATACTAGCAACATGCCAATTCATACTAAAAATACTAGCAACAAGCTAATTTATACTAAATTCATGCTAACAACATGTTAGTTTATTCTACAAACATGCTAGCAACATGCTAATTCATGCTAGAACCATGCTGATAACATGAGCTACTGACTTTGTATCATCAGCCTATCAGATCCCTTCGATCCGCCTATCAGGATTTGCTGTGTATCCCCAAATCAAGACTTAAATGTAGTAAATATTTCATGCAATGAAGCCCACTCTAATAAGACCCACTTTGTCCATCACCACCTTTAGGTTCACATTAAAGACTTTGTTAAGCTTTAGTTAAATAAATTTTGTTCCACCTATATAGAGTAAGAGTCATGATGAATATAAACAAATGGTAGCTTTTTCCACTGTTTTTTTTTAACTATTCAGCTATTATATTAACATCTTTGCATACTGTATGACCTGTTGTCCATGGTATCATTACACGCCTAAGAATACATGTCCATGGAGGAACCAGAAAGGATCTTTACAGTGATGCCATGGCGGAAACCTTTTTAGATTCTGCCTTGGTAAATCAGAGATGTGTTTGTGCATGTGCAAAGATGCTCGTATATCCTCAGCTGAGGTGAGAGTTAAATGAAGAAACTGTGATTATGTAAAATGATAGTGCGTCCTAAAATGAGCACTCATTTTGGTGTTTGATGAACTTGATGAATGGGAAGACACTGCCATGTGTGTGTATGTGTGTGAGGGCATGCAATAAAAGAAGTTCAAGTATCTATCTAAGGGGATAGGCCTTCATCTTTAAACTTTAGATTTAGTAAATAGCAGATCTATGGGGACCACACAACAAATGTTCTAATCTGAGTAAGTAGGGTTCTGCCTTTTTAGAATAGTGGTTAATCGCCTCTGTTTAGTGACCAAGACTGACACGCTTGTGTTTAAGAGATTGTATACTTGGCCGGTACAAGACTCAGGATGTTACTGTCACGACTGTCAGTAACCACCTGAGGGCGCTGTAGTTCGACTCAAACTCTGAGAGTGAACTACAGCGCCCAAGAACTACAATTCTATACATACCACGCGCACACACCAGAACTCACTTACACTGATTTGTATTCACAGCTGTCTCTGTTTTACTGTTGATTTCCGGGACTATATATTCAGCCATTCAACCAGTTTGTTAGTTTGTCGTTCGTCCTTGTTGGTATGGTGTTCTTGATTCCAGTCTTGTATACTGTCATAGTTGCCGAGTCTAAGTTTAATCTGTTTTAGTTTCTTGTTTGTTTGTTTGTTTTGATACTTTGTTACTTTGATTTTTTTGGTTCTCTGTCACTGCACAATATTCATCATTAAACTACACCCTTTTTTGTTCCTGTTTCAATCTCCCAAACGTGACAGTTACAGGAATCCAAATGAATGAGAATAACAAAACAATAACGAATCGAAGAGAATAGTCATTCATAATCTAAAGCAGTGGTGCTCAACTCTGTTCTTGGAGACCGACCTTCCTGCAAAGTCCAGCTCCAACTCTGATCAAACACACCTGAACCAATTTATTAGGACCTGAACAGCACTTGATAACTACAGGCAGGTGTGTTTGATATGAGTTGCAACTGAAATCTGCAGGAAGGTCGATCTCCAGGAACCGGGTTGGTCACTGCTGATCTAAAGTAATATTAAAAAGACGTAAAATGTTTTGAAATTGGAGTCAGATAAAACAAGGATAAATATATAAATATTCTAAACCACCTCATACTAACATTGCAGTTAGATATGAGTTAAATTGAAAGTAAATCAACATTGTGCAAAGGAAAGACCGAACATGCAGTGAACCTTCGTCCACCAGTAGACTCTGTCGTTGGACTAACTGGCTAGACCTTACTAAACTAGAAACCAAAGCCTGAGCAATAGTAGTAGTGATTCTTGGCTTAAAGGGCACCTAGGTTACCCCTTTTTTCAGATTTAATATAAGTGTTTTTTGTCTCTAGAATGTGTATGTAAAGTTTCAGCTCAAAACACCCATCTGATTTTTCATTATACCTTTTACTAGATCCTGTTTTATACATTTTTCCACCAGGGGGTGGTTTTGTCAGACTGCGCCCATGGCTGGCGCATCTATAAAGGTGACCTAGGCGGCCGCCTAGGGCGGCAGAATACAGAGGGCGGAGTCCCCGACACAACCCTCACCTCTCCCGCCCTCAGTTATTTCCGCGTCTAGGGCAGCGTCCGTGACACTACCCTCACCACCTGCGCCCTCAATTATATCCGCGTCTAGGGCGGCGTCCGCGACACTACTCTCACACAACACCGCTTTTACTTTAGAGTTGAGGGCGGCATAACCGTCCTTTGCCTAGAGCGGCAGTTCAGCTTTCTCCGGCCCTGACTACGCCTTTAAGGCGAGTACTCCCCGCCTACTGTTTCTACGTGCCTGTCAGCGTGCGTTAAATCTCCTCGGCTGCGTAAGACAACAGACAGACTTAAAGTAAGAAGGTCTCACGTAGCGTTTGTGAGGAATACTACAGTAAGAACTTTACCAACGAGTATTTGTTGTGCAGTTGCATTGATGAGTCACATGCAATATCATAACAAAGTACACACGCGCACATACACACACACAGATACACGCACACACGGACCGCAGCAGACACACACACATAGACAGACAGAGCGCGTTTAGTTTTGCACTCTTTTTGCACGCATATGTGAAAGGTTACAGGTTAATCTCCACTGCTGTATGGATATCTGTTGTTAATGTACAAAATAAACCTGATTGAACGTCCACAAACCGGGATTGAAGCATCTTCCTTTATAATTGTTTTGACAGGCGGCTGTGATGAAGTAAAGCTGAAGTAAATCGCTGTAATTCATTATACACGTGCACTCTTGATCACATTTGATGATGATTGATGATCCTAGCGAACTGAACAGACCTTTTATTCCCGGTTGCTTTGCGCACGTCTGGTCTTGTTGACATGATTATACACGTGACTACCGGGACATGCTACATAAAGCTGTCAATCAATTCGCTGGACGGGGGGACCTCACTCCTACGACAAGTTGTGGTCGGTTTGAAAACCGCTCCAATTTATCTACCGTTTTTATGTTGTTAAATTAAAAAAAAAAGGACTGTGTGTGTTTATATCACCCCAATATGATGGTCTATACCAGGGGTCACCAACCCTGTTCCTGGAGAGCCACCTTCCTGCAGATTTTAGTTGCAACCCTGACCAAATATACCTGTTTGTAATTATCAAGTGCTGCTTTAGGTACTATTAATTGGTTCAGGTGTGTTTGATCAGGGTTGGGACTGAATTCTGCAGGAAGGTAGCTCTCCAGGAACAGGGTTGGTGACCCCTGGTCTATACACTATATATACACACAAGTCTGTCCAAACAGCTTGAAAAGTAGATTTTTCACTATAGGTGCCCTTTAACTACACAATGAAATTTCTACTTTGACCGTGCAATATTAATAATATAAAAGTCAGTAAAAGTTGGAACCCTTGCCAGTTGTGCTCTTCCATCCAGCATTATGCACGCGTGAGAATGAGCGCTTGTATGTCAACAATGACGCAGTGCACAAGGTCTGAATCACAAAGTACATTCCCATCACCAGTTCTCCTTTAATTCATCTTCCTCTCTTTCCTCACTGACAGTCAGACTGTGATTAAGCACACGTGTTGTTGTGTGCATCAGCTATTTTGTGTTGATCAAGCTGTCAAGCTTAAGTGGAAAAAAGAGAGAGGACGAAAGCGTGAGAGAGACAAATTACAGATCTCGCTGAGTCTGACGCTGTCAGTTGTCTGTCTGGCCTTGGTTTGGGCTTTTGGGCCACGTACACAAATTTTGTCAGTGAATCACCAAGAGGTTTCTGAATAAGACATATACAAGGATGGAATGGCATATCTGTTAATTATTAACTTATGGTTGGTTTGTTTGAGGTCAATATGATGTTGGATTTTGATCACTTCCAACACAACCTAAAATCAACCAAATATCAACGTCATTTGATTTCATTATTGGACATCAAAATAACGTTGTCCTTAGACGCTGGCTAGACATTAAATTTTGGGCTGCATAGGTGCTTTTAGCTGCATAGCACCACAGTTATGGAATTCCCTGTCGTTAGATATTCGTCAGGTGGACGAATGTGGATCTCGAACGGTGGATCTCCAATTTTAAATCTCGGGTTAAAACCTTTCTGTTCAGGATTTAATGACTTTTAATGACTTTCTAGATTAATAATATTTATATATTACTTTTCTGTTTTGTTTTTATAATTTGCCTGTAAGGCATACTGTAAGGTGTCATTGAGTACTTTAAAAGGCACCTATAAATAAAAGGTATTATGATTAATATTTACAACAGACACTTTTACTCTACTTACACTACTTTTTAGACAAGTCATGGTACTTTTACTCGAGTATGATTTTTTTTTGTGAGACACAGAAAACATATAAAGGATTTTGCTATTTTTCAAGAAAACTTCACACTTGCATGGAATTACTCTTACCTCAGCAAGACACATCTCAATTCATGACCAACAACAGATTTTAAGCCGTGTATAAATAAATAACCGCCCGTAGCCTTGTTAAATCGGCGTGGGTGTGCTAGCCACCAAACACCAGTTTACTCACTCGTTCCCGCCTTTTTTTCTCAAGCGCGCGTTCATGCAGAGATCAGCTCCGTGTGCAGCACTTGGAAACACGCAGATAGATAGTCTACTGTAAACAGAGGAGTCCACAGCCACACACTCGTCGTCTCTCATCGGGTTCATACAGTTTGAGGGTAAGTTTGTATTTTCATATTGTTTAAACATGCTAAGAACGCAAATTAGAAGCAGACAGGAATACTTGCTAATTAACTTATGGAGAAAGTTTAATACAATAACACATCTTATATCACTTCACAATATCGTTCACTCAGCATTATTTATAGCCTACTACACAAAAGATGGAACTAGTTAAACACTTGAGTTTTCTGCTCACTCACTGCGACATTCTCACTGCAATCATACAATACTGTTCACTTGCAGCATTTTTCAATGTAACGCAATACTCTTGTATTGACTCCAGGTGCTGCTAGCATAAAGAGTGTTATGCTTATCATTCACAACAACTAAAAATAAGTTCACCTCAGAAAAAAACCTTAGGTTGACACACACCATTGCTTTATTTAAAGGGCACTGGCTGTGTACACCTCAGCATAGTCTCAGACTATCACCAATAGTCTCTTTGCTGTTTAAATACGTTCATAAAATGAAAGATGAGTTATGCCTAAGATGTAATATAACTGGTAAATGTTGAGTTTCTGGAGTTAAATGGGATTGTGATAGTCAAAGCAAGTTTCTAGAAGTTTAACTTGTCATTTAAAGTGCCATTATGCTTCTTTTTTTTTTACTTTAAAGTACTCATCTTTTTTTTTTCCTTAAATGCTTTAAAGCAGTGTTTTTTTTCTTTTTTTAAAAAATATTTTCCAAACAATGTTTAACAGAGCAAGGACATTTTCACAGTAGGTCTGATAATATTTTTTCTTCTGGAGAAAGTCTTATTTGTTTTTATTTTGGCTAGATTAAAAGCAGTTTTTAATTTTTTAAACACCATTTTAAGGTCAATATTATTAGCCCCTTTAAGCAAATTTTTTTGACTGTGTACAGAACAAACCATCGATATACAATAACTTGCCTAATTCCCCTAACCTGCCTAGTTAACCTAATTAACCTAGTTAAGCCTTTAAATGTGCACTTAAAGCTGTATAGAAGTGTCTTGAAGAATATCTAGTCAAATATTATTTACTGTCATCATGGCAAAGATCAAATAAATCAGTTATTAGAGATGAGTTATTAAAACTATTATGATTAGAAATGTGTTGAAAAAATCTCTTCGTTAAGCAGAAATTGTGGAAAAAATAAAGAGAGGGGTTAATAATTCAGGGGGGCTAATAATTCTTCATACTTCAACTGTATCTCAAAACAGACATTTATAAGGGAGTGTGAGAAAGAATCAGAAAGCATTGACCTTCTTTAAAGTCAATGTCACCGACAGAATGATTTTTTTACACCTAGATATTTGGAACCAGTCTCATTTGCTCAGTTAGAGTGGTTCGTTTGGCATATGTGAATCCAGCAATCATGCTTGGATCCAGGTCAAATCATACGGCGCCTCATTCAGACAGTCTCGGCTCAATTGAAACTAACTCTGAAGCGGATTGAATGTAGTGAGAATGAACTAATGAACCAGGCTGTATCAAAGTGTATTACGGTTGTATAATAGGCATATATACAGCTCTATAAAGAGAATGATGAGTAGGGCAGGATGCCATCAATCATACAGGTAAATGTGTTTCATGTCAAATACGAAAGTGCATGCTGAAATTGCCGTTTAACCGTTAGGAAAATTGACCGATCTAATAACTTTTCCTTATTTTAATCTTCTAATATATTGTTTTAGGCTTATTGTTTCGTTCATTTGTGCACCAACACCTCAAAAGAAAGAACAACACCTGCGTCATGGTCTGACTGATAATAAAGCGTATTTGGCATGCTGTCACAGGAGAGAGCCCTGTGCTCAGACTATCCTTGAGCCCGGACCTCCCTCCTGTTTGAAGGGCGAGAGGAGAGTTTGAGCTCAGGTAGGTATCGAGAACTCCCCTTGTGAACTGCTGAGATAAATTTGACTAAGAGTTGCCTGAGGAGGCTATTTTGAAGTTGGTAATTTGCTTATGGTGTATGTCTTTGGACGGTGGGAGGAAACCGGAAAACCTGGGGAAAACCCACCAAACACGGGGAGCACATGCAAACTCTGCACAGAAACCCCGACGGGCTTGGAGAGGGCCGAACGAGCGGCGTTCTTGCTGTTAGGCAACAGTGCTAACCACTGGGCCACCACTTTATCAGAGAAGGGATGGAAGGGGGGATTCTTCAAGACGAAGATGACTGGAGTAGAAAGCTCTGGTAAATTAGTGTCAATACTTGTCTGATTGGTGCAATATCCGGAGCTGATGAGGTACCAATTACCTCGAAATTAGTTTGTGAATTAATGAAGGTCTCTAATTCTCTAATAGGTGTGAAAGCACCCTAAATCCGGTATTTGGAAATGTAGAGTTGCTTACAATGTAGATGCTTTAACTTCTGAACTCTTGTCTTTTCATCCTCAGGCAGAGCAAAATGACAGATCCTCCATCTTTGTTGTCCATTCTTACTGCGCTGGCTGTGTTTGCTTCTTTGGCCTCTAGAGGTGCCTCCATCACAAACAATGAGGACAACTGCCACTCGACACAGATGAAGGTCCCAGTGATCCTGGACCAGAGCTCAGCAACTCTTCAAAGTCCAGAATTCACTGCTGATGAATCCAATGACCAAGCAGTGATGTGTGGGATTGAGTGCCAAAGAAAGCTGCCAGAACCGAGGCCTGCCGAGCTGGAGCGATTGCTGTCTTATGAAACAGTCTACGAGAACGGGACGCGCATCTTCACCAAAATCAAACTGGAGCAATTCTCCGCTGACTTGAGAAACAAGTCCTCTTCTGTTGTTTGCAACTCAGAACCACTTAAGCGCAGAAAGCGGCAGGTATACGGCATGGATGGGCGTTTTGTGATCACCGATAAACATTTCACCACCAATTACCCCTTTTCCACCTCGGTTAAGCTCTCCACGGGTTGCTCAGGAATCTTGGTTTCTCCAAGACATGTGCTGACCTCTGCCCACTGTGTCCATGATGGCCACGAGTATCTGAAGGGCACAAAGAAGCTCCGTGTGGGTGTCATGAAGCTTCGCTCCAAACGCACGGGAGGACGCCAACGAGGAGGCAGGAGCAGAGGAGAAAAGAGGAGAGAAAGTGAAGCAGAAATAAAGGAGCCCAACGGGAAAAGGATGAACCGTATGAAGCGAGACACAGAGTCAGACCAGTCTAAAAAAACAGTCTTCAGGTGGACGCGGGTCAAGCGAACTCAAGTGCCAGCAGGCTGGATGAGACAAACAGGCAAGGAGGTCTCGGCTGACTATGATTACGCCCTGCTGGAGCTGAAACGAGCCCACAAGATGAAGTTCATGGACTTGGGTGTTGTTCCTGCAGTCAAGGACGTCCCCGCTGGAAGGATTCACTTCTCTGGGTTTGACAACGACCAATTGGGGAAAGTGGTCTACCGCTTCTGTTCAGTCTTGGAGGAGTCTAATGACCTGATGTACCAGTACTGCGATGCGCAGAAGGGATCGAGCGGAGCCGGTGTGTATGTAAGGCTACGGGATCAGGGAGGAAAAGGGAAGTGGAAGAGGAAGGTGATCGGTGTGTTTTCTGGACACCAGTGGGTGGATGTCGATGGGATGCAGAAGGACTATAACGTGGCAGTGAGAATAACACCCATCAAGTATGCACAGATTTGTCATTGGATCCACGGAAATGCAAGCCAGTGCAAATTAGTCTAAGAGGGTCATTCTTAAGTGAAGGTACTACATTTATACGCCCAACATGACGTCAAGGAGTCCTCAAGACTGCAGGGACAGTCTAGATTAAAAAAAACATGTGACCCAATGGAACAATTATTGTCGCAACACAGATAGAGCAAAGAAATGCCTTTACATGACAAGATAGACTTGGATGTTGTATATTTATTTTGTTTATTGCCAAAATTTGAGACTTGAGGCTTTAAAATGGCCATGTTTGTGTTTAAAAAGGCAAAATTACCATATGAAGCCAAGTAGTCAGCTACTGAAAAGCAAAACAGCTAGGCACTCTGTCTGCCCGAGTCTTCCGTTCTTGAAGAGTTCAGCCAAATATGAAAAATGTATTCATGGTGACTAGATTATTTTCAGAAGAAAAATGGATGGTAGTTCATGCTACCTCTGAACAACAATATATTAATGTCAGGGACAATTGTTTATGACTAAGAGCCTACATTATTTGTAATTGAATGCATAAGCGATATGGATTTTCTTGCGTCATAAATCTCCATCCAGTTTCACTGAATGAAGGAGATGCTCAGATTAGTTTAGGTCCAAACTCAGTCCTGGAGGGCAGGTGTCCTGCAGATTTTAGCTCAAACTTACCTCAACACACTTGCAAGGAAGTCTAGTAAGAGCTTGATTAGCTAGTCCAGGTGTGTCTGATTTGGGTTGGAACTAAACCTTGCAGGACACCGGCCCTCCAGGAGCGAGTTTGGACATGCCTGGTTTAGGTGGATGTGATTCATAAATAGGATTTTGATCTGTATGTGTGTATTTATTTAATAGTCAATGCATTCATGTCTAATAAATTTTATTCAGGTACCATTAAATTACAAAACACCAGTTAAAAAAATATCAGTACTCGTGTGTTTTTTGGGCCGTGCTAGTGATGGCAGCTTTTCAAGAGTTCGCACTTAGCTGATGATTGATAATAAAGCTTGTTCGGCTTGCAGTCCTCATAAGATCCTCGAGCCTGGGGCTCCCTCCTGTTTGCAAGGCGAGAGGGGAGTTTGAGCTCTGTAGCTACTGTAGTAGTTAATGAACAGAAAGTGATTGCTCTAAAGAGATAACTACTTACTAGGGGCATGTCTGTAGTGCTGATTTGGATTAGTCAATTAACTTAAGTTGCATGTTTTTGGACGGTGGCAGGAAATCGAGGAACCGGAGGAAAACCCACATGGGCACGGGGAGAACGTGTAAACTCTGCAAAGAAACGTCAGCTGGCTCAGTAAGGACTAGAACCAGTGACCATGGTTCTCTGCTTAAAGGTGATCTATATAAAATCACACCTTGTAAATATTGTTGCGTTTGCACGGCCGTAAATCTCTGAACAGGTTTCATAGATCTTGCACACGTTTTTACAAGCTTGGAGATGTCAATGAATCAATAAAATTCAAAGAAATCCTATTAGTTCGTAGGCTTTTGTCCTTTTAAGCCCACAATGGAACAAATATAAGCCTCGGAAACGGATGAGAGAACATTATGCAGACACTTAATATTTAATATTAGATGATAACAGGGTACGCAGGACTCCTAAAGGTAATTTCAATACCTTTAAGACCTTTTTAAAGACCCCAGAATATTTTAAGACCTCATCGCCACTTCAAGTTCTAATCAGTATCAAACCTTTAACTTAATAAACAGTTGTAGTTAAATAAATTAATAGAGCACAACCATGCAATAAAAGTCAGATGAGCTCAGAAGAAACAAACCTTGAAAGAATAAATTAAACCAAAGGCAAGACTTATTAAAATGTCTGCCACGTTTACCTTTACAATCCCAAAAATGCCTTTGTGTGAGTTCAGTGAGTGATGAATCGCCACTGTAAAATGCCCAGATAACCTCCATGTGCACTGTTGATGTGCCGCCCATAGCCCCCCTGATGTCAACAGAGCTGCTGTCGTAGCTGTTTTGAAAAGTTCAGCTGTCGTGCTGGGTAGTGGTGTGGCTGGTGGTGCATAATAACTGGCGATAGACAACTACATGTAGCAAACTACATGTGGGACTTTACAGCGTTTATGCCCATCGACGATATAGTAATTATCTTTTTACAATACGTACAGTAGGCCTTGCAGTTGTTTCAGCCAAATGCTTACGCTCGTCTTTCTCCAACCAGGAGTGCGCTAACTTACATTTTCCCATTTTGCTGTCTGTTTCTCTCTATGGTATTGCTACATGTGGAGAGCGTCACAAATTATGTGACGTCACCCAGACGGAGGAACTTGGCCGGACATGACCCAGCCCGAACCAATCATGCCGTTGTTAATATTAGAAGGAAAATAAAACATTTTTGGATGCTTTTTTGACTTTGGACAACGCTTGAACTAAATTTACAACCTCATAAAAACGTGATTAAGACTTTTTATACCTTTTAAGAGCCTAAATTTTCTCATAATTGATCAACTTTTAATTCTTTTTAAGACCCCGCGGACACCCTGGATAAGGTAAGGTGCATTTGACGGGTTATACATTCAATTTAACATTGATTCAAATTGGCTGCCAATGTTCAAGTTTGAGTTTCACTTGCAGAGTTTTGAGCAGCTGGCGTCTCTAGCATGTGGCGTTTCCAATGCTTTACAACAGGGGTTCCCAAACTTTTCAGCCCGCGACCCCCATAATAACAATGCCAGTGACTCGCGACCCCCAATATCCTCTGAGGTGGTTATAAATACAGAAACCTTGCATGCAATGACGCAGACGCACCAATTAAATTTGTGTCAGTGCTTTAAATGTGCCAGAAAGTATAACCTGATGTTATAAAATCAAAATGCATCTGACGCTATTGCTGCCTTTAATATAATGTAATTACCCCAGGGGTCGCAATCCAATAGAACTAGTAACTATAAGCTACTATAGTAACTATATAGTATATAGTAACTATAAACGACTATTTTTATTTTCAGTATAGTTAAAATATGTTAATTCTAATGATTTAATAAAAATAAATAGATTTTTGGAAATCACCAGGCGACCCCCCTTCATTGCCCCGCGACCCCTCGGGGGTCCCGACCCCCACTTTAAGAACCACTGCTTTACAACACATGTAACATCTTTCATGACAAAACATCCAATTTCTCTCTTTTTCACACCACCAATCTGGTTTATTTACTTTGAAATGGCAGAAAAAGGAACTTTTTTTACATTAAACATGACAGACAGCCATGCTAATAGCAAAAAAATAAGTAACACAAACAAAAAAACTACTAACAGCTCATCAGTTGGATCCACATATAAATACAAAGCTGAGCGGAGTGACACCAGAATCAGCCAATGAGAGACCTTAACCCTCTAGAGAGCCTGATTGGACGGCGTCCTGATAGGAGGGCCCGCCTTCTTTCTGGTCAGGGAAGAGCTTGATGAGGTCATCGATTCGAAGGATGGTAATGGCCGCCTCGGTGGCGAACTTCAGACTCTTGGTTTTGACCATCGTGGGTTCGTACACTCCTGCCTGCTTGTTATCCCTTGGCTTTCCATTTACCAGATCCAAACCAATCCTAAGAGCAGAAACACACAAAAAGCAATTAAAACCAGGTCAGCATTTCATCTGAGCTCTCAGCTCAATCCATAATAGGCAACATTGCTTCCAGAGTATTGTCTGAGCAAGGGATTTAAAGACAATTCAGGCAAAGCTAACTTCTGAACACCAGCATTTGAATTCTTGATTGAACGTCTGTGTGTGGTATTTCAGAGATCTGAGCACTGACCATTTGAGGTTCTTGCGATCGGGGTTGACCTGAGCCTCATTGTGAAAGGCTCTGAGTTTGGCCACCAGGTCAGTGGAGTCCTGCGCTGCGTTCACGGCCAGAGTTTTAGGAATGACCAGCAGAGAGCGAGCAAACTCTGCAATAGCCAGCTGCTCACGGGAGCCCTGCAACACACACACAAAACACACATTACTAAAGAGCACAATCCTTCATTTTCTCCAGTCATTACATGCACGCAAATCCAGTGTCAAAACGTCTTCAGGTCTGTTTTAACCCAGAAGGGATGCCTAAGAACTGTGTAAAAAAAAAAGAAAAGGAATCAAATGTGTACAAGTGTTTTATTTACTTCAAAATACACACTGTAACGTTTTAAGTTCAGGATGGAGCAAATATAGGTGTATGAATGCTTAAATGATCTATGGTGTTTAATAAAACATATCTACTGATCGACCAATCAGACTGTAATCTGAAATGTTAATGAATCTCAATTTCCCAATTAATCAAAAAGGATAAATTCAGCAATTCTGTGGTGTAAAATTGGAAATTAATAACGTTCAAACTAATTCACTCACTGTAGAAAAGCTGCGCCACACCAATAAGCATGAACTGAGTATTTTATAAAGTAACTATTAAAGTTACTATAGCTTATAATTGAGCATTTTTAACTTTTCATTTTTATACTATTCTTAAATTTACATGCTGCCAAAATTAACGTGCTGTCGACATTAACATTAATCAACAATAGAAGACAGATTTGAAAACATGGCCTTGAGAAAAAGTTTTTTTGAATGACCCGTTTCCACAGTTTGGTACAGTATGGTACGGTTGGGTACACTTTTATGGCTGTTTCCACTGTCAAAAGGTACCTAAAAGCGAATTGTACCGTACTACTTTTTGGGTACCTTTTGAAAGTGTACCTAGAATGACAAAATTGTACCAAAACAGAGCTAGACGCACAGCTTTACATTAACTTTAATCACCGGGCACTGTGGCTAGTAGTTTTCCGATGTTACTAGCCACTCTGCATTATGACTAGCCACAATGTTGTTGTTGGGAAAATATATTTTATATGCATAAATTTGACGTTGACAAGCTAAAATAAAAAAAATAAATTGTGTTGTCCACATGGATCCTCATTCATTTCACTTTTTGTGTGTCGAGTATGAGTTTACTCAATGAGCATGAGAAAATGGGTCATGGTTTCATAGTGCTATATTGCAATTAGTTTTTACTTCACATCAGTTTTTAAGAGCTCAAAATTAACAATGTACCAAATTTATCTCTATAACCACATGAAACAATAATGAATTCTTAGCCACAAATTTTTATTGTGTCAAAACAAGCAAAGTATAGCTGTATACTATACTTTTTATTTAACAAAACATTTCTTTAAAAAGAAAGAAAAGCAATTGACTTTTAAAAAATAACTATTGTCATGTATCAAAAATATGAACAGTAATCTGTCGAGGTTAAATAACTCTCAGATCACAAATTAACTGCACATAAATGGAGAGTTCATCTCCCATTAAAGCACTGTTGTAAAAATTATAATTAAACCATTTTACCAAAAACAAAAGCAAATAAAACCGTAAGGAAATGAAAGCAGGTGAAACACACCGTGTGTGATAATGAAATGATGATCACATGCTCATGGTACTTTAGGCCAATTAATAATCTGTTCAAAGTGAAAGCAACCGCTGCTGCTTACAAAAAGACACATTGAGCTCTTAAAAGCATCAGGACTGTGAGTGCATGCTCATCACGTTTTGTCTAGTTTATTTGAAAGAGAACCGATCATAGTTGCGTTTCCAGTCCAGAACCTGTTCCAGACATGGTTGCTTCACGATTCGAGAGCGCGCACACGTTTTAAGCAGTCGCGCGCATCACATTAGCTGTTAGCATGAGTGATCGTCATCCTCTCATTCTGTATTCATTTGCTTTCTTCAGCTCGCGTGATCACAATTATTTTACTTCTCGATTCTAAGATCACATTTGCACGCATATTGGGCAATCCTTATATTGTCGAACTCTGCTTTTAGGAAAACTACAATTTAAAAATTATTTTCAACCAGCCAATGTGGCTAGTGGAGGTGTCTGTCTAACCTGAAATCTACCCGCATTTGGCAGGTGTTAATGTAAAGCCCTGGTTATATGTTGTGTGTTGTTTTTAAACACAAATGTCTAAACTAAACGTCTGTGAAACTGTCTTGTATTTGTTCAGGGATGGTAAAGCGTGTGGCCAACGCTAAGATAGCCTGTCTGGACTTCAGCCTGCAGAAAACCAAGATGAAGCCTGGCGTTCAGGTGGTCATCGATGACCTGGAGAAACTCGACCCAATCATGTCTGACTAAATGTCTGCTGTGTGCAGTTTTTCTGTAATTGGTAACATATCAGAGACTGAACATGTAGTTTCAATGTCCATGTTCAAACAAAGTGCAGGTGATCGTTAAGGGGTTTAAACATCAGCTACTTTTCGGTCAAACCATGTCAGATTAAAACACTGAGGAAACACTGAGGAATGGTTGTGTGTGTGCTCACCATGCTGGTTGCGTAGTTCTCCAGATAGATGGACAAAGCAGCCTCCACAGCGCCTCCTCCTGGCACCACAGATTTAGACTCCAGCACTCGCTTCACCACACACAGGGCGTCATGCAGAGAGCGCTCCATCTCATCACACATGAAATCATTGGCCCCGCGCAGGATGATGGAGGCAGAGGTGCGCGCCTTTGTGCTGGAAGACACAGAGAGGACGTCACTTGTTGATATACATTTTAGATCAGGGCTGGGCAACTCATCCTTTAAAGACAATGATTCAGCATGAGTAGCATGTTTGTTCTGAGCAGGACGTTAGCAGAACAGTTTCTCTGTCCCGTTTCCCACTCAGGACACTCACTGTCTCCCACGCGTATAACCACACACGCCACCAGACAGGCATGGCAGCAATTATAATGGGAGTGTGTTCATGCATACACACATTAAAGAAACGCTTTACAGCCTATTCTGACAATAACATCTCGTCTTATTCTTCGCTATTAGACCACTTAACGGTCCACAAAGACCACCATTAGACACTGGAGCAGATTTAGCTGGACCAATACAGTTAACAGTTTTAGGGTGCAGTTGTGGACTAATGGTTAGGGAGTTGGACTGGTAATGGAAAGGTTGCATGTTCGATTCCTGGTTGGAATTGAAACATTGAGATGTTTTCAACTCACTGCACCTGGACGTACCTGACTTTTGTTTTCTGGGTGAATTACACCTTATAAATACAGTATGTGACACTTTTAATGGCATTTGAAGGTGTTCATGTTCCTGTGAGGACCTGTGTGGCCGCCTTTAAAGGGCCATGACACCCCCCACTTTCGGTTAAAGTCTACTTCAGAATTTTTTCAAAAGATGCATGATTAATGGGCGGAGCTCCGCGAGCATCGGGCAGGAGTGGGCGTGGCCAGCAGGGGAGAAGGGCGATCAACTGTTGTAGTCAGTTAGCTCAGAAAATGAGACACACCGTGAGGAGAAGCATGAGTCTAATGTTTACAAAGTTAAAATGCAAAGAAATGAACAGTAATTTAATGCCCTGCTACATTTGTTATTCGTAATTTCATATACACATAACCACAATTTATATCATTATAAAGATAAGTGTGTTCATGTAAACACTATAAATGAGGATTCTCCCTTGATCCCCGTATCCAGCAGACTCAGTGCAGCAGGTCTCCTGACCTGTCTATTTTAACCATTAGTCCTGCTGGTAATCTGGAGGATTTAGGCAAACACAGCAGCACGGCGATGTGTCTGAATGTGAACGAACTCCTGATAAAAGTCAACATCCGCCATTCTCTAATTCTCGTGCTGCTCTCCCGACAAAAATACTTGCAGCACACACACAGCTTTGCTGTATGATCGGCCCTGACAAGAACGCGAGGGAAAACATGCAACAAACCCCGTGGATGATGGAAACAAACACATATGAGCCTTCATGAACGGCTAAATACTGTGTACTTGGGTCCGTGTCTCTCAGCTCGGGCTTGACTCTGGCAGGTCTCATGAATAATTAAGCAGCCGGCTCTTCTCATAGGATAAGAAAACTCCGCTATGAATAATAATGAGAAACCGACGCGTCATCATTGCACTTGCAGTGCTGCGCTACGTCGCCGATTTTAATCCGCCCCAAAAATCATTTTAAACCCGGAAGCTGAAATTAGCTGACAAAAGCTCAAAATTATCCAGTTTTCCCCACAAATACAGCTGACAGGTGCTAACATTGTCTTAACTGATGCTCAACACACACACATCTGTTAATATAAAAAGTTCTCCAGGGTGTCCTGAACCTTTAAGCTTCCCTCCTGACCTTGAAAATATAATTGGCTTAATCGTAGAAAAGCTGAATTAAGATCCTGTGTAGGGTCGAATCGAGATCGTGAACTTTCTTCGATTAATTGTGCAGCCCTAATGTCCACACATGTAGCATGATGACAATAAAGCTCAACGTGACTTCTCAGTTTGTTTTAAATGAAAGTATCTCAGTCTCACTTCTTGATGAGGATGAGCTCGTCGTCACACACTCTCTCCTGCACCACCTCCTCTGCCTGACCCAACATGGACGGCTCGAATGTCTCCTCGCCCTCCAGGTTGGACAGAGAAGAGCAAACCGTGGCTGTGAAGGAAAAACACTCATGATCAGAACTCAATCACTAATGCACACACCAGAGTAAAGCGAGCAGGTTAATTCAGCAGACCTCCAGTAGCTTTAGCGATGCGCTTGAGGTCTTTCTTCAGGACTCTTCTCACCGCCATGGCCCCCACGTCCACGAAATACTTCAGACACATGTCGTCGATTCCTCCTGTGGTCAAAACCACATTCGCCCCTGATGCCAGGATCTTCTGAACACGTTCCTTTGTGATGTCCGATTCCCTGAAAAACAAGAGTGAGGAAAAAAATTAATAGAGAAACAAAATTATAACTATATGGAAAAAGCATGCCTAATCTTACAAACGAATCCTGAAACCATCTCAGGTAAAATGATATATTCTACCCATTTTTATTTTTTATTCTTCATAAGATGCTCACATGTAACAGGTCATATTTACATGGTTATGAAGATCATTGTCACAAGTGATCATCAATAGATTCTAATGTTAAAATGGGTGCAAAATGTTTGTGTGCATTAATTTTAAAAACAGCAATGGTAGAGTAAACATATCAGATTTATAGGGTAAAAGCTAACCTGGGGTCCGTTCTTCGTACCTCGCTTAGATGATCTAAGATTATTTGGCAGATCCCGGATCTTTTAATCTTGATAACTGATCTCTCGCTAATTTGGTTCTTCTAACGAGTTCGCGGATCAGATTAGAATGTCTGGATGAACTGATCTGAGATCGCTGCGTGTGTTGTGAAGGACAGATCTATCGCTCCTCGAAATCATGATCAGCAATGCAATGATTGGCTGACGGCACAGCAGCATAATGACATCATCTGATTAATATTCAATTATCCATGTGAGCAAAATTACATCCAATTAGCAGTAAACGGCTTGTTAAATATGACACGCAATAACTTTTCACATGTTGTGAGCTGCAGGCTTTACAATTTCATGTGTCAAGAGTATCATCATGTATTTCAATGCAAATCAGTGTATTTAGTTCTACATTTAGAAAATATTTTCTTTATTATAGTAGCCGTTTTTTTAATCGGTGTAAAGAATAACTGGTTGTTTACAAAAGCATTTTCATATTGGTAAAGGCGTCTGCAACATTTGTGAAGCATCAAATCACCGGCATATTAACTGTCAAAACATGTTTATGACTGCTGAAATGTATTATTGCTTTAAAAAAGTCACATATTGTGCATTTCTATTATACACAATTTGTACTAAAGCGATCTAAAAAGTTCATATCAATAAGCTTTCTCTTTGCACCACCAGGTGGCAATCTTTGTAGCATACTTTTATTTCGAGGGTGCAGATTGCATACGTTTTATTAATATGTATAACTTAATTTATTTTATTAATGACTATAACTTTATTTATATAGTTTAAAAATATGTACCATTTCCCTAAGTTTATATAACTACTACTGTAAGAAAATATCAGAATTCGGAACATACTTTCTGTATTATCTTTGCTTGAACTGAGCCAATCTAATCCTGTTTATATGAATTGAACCTGCTGCCGATCAGGTTTGAGCTAGCAGAACTGTTGCTATGACAACAACTCTCGGATCAGCTTTGAAGAACGAAACGATCCTGGATCATGTCAAATCGTCAATATCCAAATCCAGCTAACTGAGTAATCCACGTACGAAGAACGGACCCCTGAAATGCAAAGTCAACATACAAATATGTTAAAGCAAAATAAACATTGTTTTCTTTTTAATATGACTACAAGTATTATCAAGTTAACAAGTTAAATTAAATGCTCCCTTGCAACCAGCCGGAATAAAACTGACGGTCATGGCTTTCCATTAAAGGTCTTATGAAGGGTTTTGAAATGTTCTTTTTTGTTTGATGTGTGACAATTTTTAAACAAAGAGAAAGTGGGACATAGAATAGCTCCTCCCCTTATAAAAAACAACCAATAGCATTTTTCTCACAGCTCTGCAGTAAGTGATTGAGCTCAAGCACACCACTCCGTTCACACCAGACGCAGAAGCGCGAGTGGTTTACATGTTAAGTCAATGCAAAGACGCGAATAGACATCCTGCAGCATGATACGCGCAAATGGCGTGTCGCGAATTTACAGTTTTGCACGCTTAACACGCGAATCGCATAAGTTCGAAAGTCTAAACTTATCAGACATTCGCGCCTCGTTAACCAATCAGAAGCTAGCTCTTGTTGGGGCGTAATTATGATGTCCTGGGGGAAAATCCCCCTGCCTACACCGACAAGATCTTTAAAATTGGGCTCGGCTCAGTCAGAAGCACCGCGAAAAGCCTCCATCATCCAGGTTACGTTTCTGAGCTCACAGAGCTGGATGCACCTCTGAAAGGATCTAGTGGATTCAAACACGGCTCCAAATGAATTGATGTCGTTTATAAAGCACATAAACAGAAACCCTGCCCATCACGCGAATCCACGTCTGTTCTGAAGTGAACTTGGCGCAAGAATGAAGCGGATTTTGACACGCGAATGAGGCGAGTAAACTCAAACGCTCACCCGTCTATTTATGCGCGATTCATCCTCGCGTTCCGCGTCTGGTGTGAACACAGCAAAATGAAAAGCAAATTGAGAAGCCGGGCGGGGTTAAGCGTCACATTTGATTTAATGCATTAAAACTAATATCTCTAAAAAAATAAGTCAGCTGTCCAGCCCAAAGGTAACACAGACACACGCGTGTATCTGCAAATATAAGAGGCTTCAGGCAGATGATGCTTTATCCCACGCGTATAACTACACACACCACAGATGTGTGGCAGCAAATGTAAATGGGACATTCTGGTTTGTTCATTTTATTTCTCTGGTCCAACATCGCGTCTCACCTCTGTCTGATTTGGTCGAGTTTCTCCGGATCATTGATGACCACCTGAACGCCCAGCTTCATCTTGGTTTTCTGCAGGCTGAAGTCCAGACAGGCTATCTTAGCGTTGGCCACACGCTTTACCATCCCTGAACAAATACAAGACAGTTTCAGAGTCACACTAAAGCCTGGCGCACACGGTGCCACTGTTAAAAGTCTTAAATTGTAGCATATAGCATGTCAGACTGCACAAATATGATCCCATATCGCACTGGGAGATCTCAGTTGTCAGTGTCCAGGATTCCCACTCTTTCATGAACAGCAGAATCAATGACTTTTTAAAGGGTCACGAAACACCAAAACACATTTTTTTGGGCTGTTGAAAGTCGTAAACGTGTCCCACACTGCTAAAAACACTATAAAATACAGCATTTTTTACTCGAGAGCATTTCCTCATCAATGGTGAGATCCGGATTTGCTGCTCGTCTCCTTTAAAAAAAGACGCAGCTCCAGTATGTGTTGATTGTCCTGTCTACAGATTCGGTAAGTCTGTGCGATCAGTGCCCTTTCTTTGTTCATTCAGATGGCAAAGTTATAGTTTGTATGGTCAGCAGTACTCTTTCAGTGTTTAAAGACAGACCTTAGTCAAAATGATTTCTAAGTTCCTTAGTTTACAGTACGTTAATATCACTACAATATTGAAAGATCCGCTGTAAATGCTGCTCTCTGTGTGTAAACATGTGAAAACTGTAAGCAAACTTTTGCCGACCGTCGTGTTGAATTTTCGCCGCATTTTGTGACAGGATAGTCTAAACACACACGGCTTTCTGACCTACCGAGTGCATCTGAGTTACAGAGAAATGCAGAGGTTTTTTTCTCTTATAGGACGTGTGGTATCAAACATTTCACTGTCATTAAACACACTGTCTTTCTCCTATGCTTGTTTTATTTTTCCTTGATCCTCAGCATGTGGCCAAATGGCAACTCCCATTTTTATTCAAACCCTGCCCCTTTTCCCTCCCCCGACACTCCCACCCAAACAGAGCTAGACACACCCACTTTCCAGACTTTTTCCAATCAAGAGGTGTGAAAACATCCTGCTTAATTGGGGGGTTTCATGGCCCTTTAAAGTACCATTGTCTTCAAACAAAGTACCATTTTTTAATTCCCCCAGCATATGTAGTGCCATAAAACTCCCTTACTGTACTTAACATTAACTCAGCATTTCCCGGAAACTTAGGTGCACTCGGCAGGTAGTGTCAGAAAGCCGCGTGTGTTATTCCGGTCACTAAATGCGGCGAAAATCCTACACGAGGTTAAAGTTTGGTTGTGGTGCTAACATGTTTACACTCGGTGCAATAGTTAACAGTTCGATACGAACAAACTGAATAAACAAAGAGCACTGGTCGCTCACTTACCAAATCTGTAGAGACAGGACAATCACCAGCAACTAGAGCTTTATTAAGAGGAGACTACAAGCGAATCTGGATCTCAGCGTTTGCAGATGAGAACAGCTCTCAGGTAAACAATAATCCTCCTTAGACACGTAAGTTATTGTTGTCGAGCGTCGCGTACACTGTTAATCCACACGTGACTCCAGCTGCGCTCTCACAGAGAGAAAATGAAAACAAAACTGAACTGCAGCAAACTATAAAAGCAACACTTCACGCTTGTTTTGCCAACACAACGTGGCGTCTCTGTCATGTAAACACTGTGACAGTAATGAATATTAATGAAGTTGCACAATAGAGCGCGCTGATTGGTTTGAACCAAGCTTTACTCATGCATTAATGCATCACACTGTAAGACATAATAAGACACACTCTGGCACAGACGTCCAGTCTGCACGCTGGAATACACGCTATTATGTCATGACCGTGACGCAGCTTCAAAAATTCGTTTCAAACCGGAAGTACGAATTTGCTTAAAATAACGCAAAAACAACCAATTTACCCTTTTTAGTGAAATATAGGTGTCCTAATAGTGTTTTTAGCAGTGTGGGACACATATACGACTGTCAACAGCTCAAAAAATGTGTTTTGGTGTTTCGTGACCCTTTAAAAATGCGACATATTCAAGTTCAAAGAACTCTAATAAAATGTGTTGAATTCAATACTGTAATATTCAAATGTGGTGTCTGAAATACTGATCAAATGTGCATGATTCGTTCTTGTACAAGATTTTTAAATGAAGAACTGATCATGTTTAAGTTCAGTTTTTGACAGCAGCACAGTCCAATTGCTGAAATAACACGATAAACACATTTCATTTCAAACCCAATTCAAGCACTTTCGAGGGCCTGTGTTTGTTTTGAAGTATTTTCCAGGCTATGAATCCATCTCAATGTTGAGATGCTTTCAACTCGCTGCACCTGGAAGTGCCTGATTTATTTTTGGTTTACGTTTATTAATCTCTCTAAAAACAAATCAGCTGTCCAGCCCAAAGTTAACACAGAGACATGTCTGCATCTGCATATATAACAGGCTTCAGGCAGATGATGCTTTATCCCACGCGTATAACTACACACACCACAGATGTGTGGCAGCAAATGTAAATGGGACATTCAGGTTTCTTCATTGAGTTTTCTCTGGTTTAACAACACGCTTCACCCCATTTACCCGACTATACAAACTTACACATTTGAATTGATTAAAGGAAATTGAGTGATAATTATTGGTTTAATTTGTGTGGCCAAGAATCAATTGTCAATTGTTGCGCTTCGTAAACTCCTTCCGTACTCTGAGCATAAGAAACCCTCATTTCACTTCAGAACATTCATTCATGAACTTACACAACATTACCTGCAGCGCCTTACCAGATAAGTGTGGCAATATACCTCCATTAAAAAAATACTATATAAAAAATGAACATATTAAAAACTAATATGCCATTTGAGTGAAACATGCACCCATCAAACTGAAAACATGGCAAAATATCCTGTAGTGAATTAAAACAAACATTTGACATGAAGAGAAACAGATGAAATGTGCAGTATGGTAGAGCGTGAGGACCAGGATTGAGAAATGCTGCATTGATATATTAATGACAGACATGCAGAAGAGACAGGAGCAGACCTTGTGAGCCGACAGTGCAGTTGAGTGCGTATCCATTGACCAGGAAACTCTCCTTCTGGCTGCGTCCGTGAGCCTTCAGCACATTGACAGAGTTGATGGGATACCGAGCAACCCCTTTACCGTCCACAAACTTTACAGCCACTGCGGCGTCGACCACCATATTAGCGAAGAACTCAGCATCACTGACAGAGCGTCAAGAAACAACAGCACCATCTCAAATGATCAGTCCAACACATGTGTTAAGGCACAGTTCAGCCAAAAATGAATATGCGGTCGTCATTTACTCTCCCTCAAGTTGCTTAAAACCCTTATACGTTTCATTATTCTGTTGAACACACAATATATTTTGAAGAGAGCAGAAAACCACTGACTTCCATAGAAGAAAAAACAAGTAATATGGTTTCAGCTTTCTTCAAATTACCTTCTGATGTGTTCAACAGAAGAAACTTAAAGCAGGGCTCGAAATTAACTTTTTTATTTGGTAGCACCGGTGCTCCCAACTTCAAAAATTTAGGAGCACCAGAAAAAATTTAGGAGCACCCACCAAAAATGTTTGAGCACCGCTGCAAATTGTATTTTAAGGGACTTATTGTATTTTAAAACAACATCAATTAGGACTAACAAAAACCAGAAACAACTATCTAATGCTGAGATGACATTGATATTTGTGTGCAATAATTCCAAAATGTGTATGTATTATAATTCTAGAATATTAATGATGATGAAAATGACAATAATAGTAACAATGAATTACATTTCTCATCATCATGCTGCCTTGAATGTGCTTGAATGCAATTTATCTGCTATAAAAAGTCTGTTACTTTATGAAAAATAAATGTATAGTTTGCATCAAACAAAAATGAAGCATTGCAGTAAGAAATATTTATTTTGTACTGCTAAACAGCATATATATGCATGTCAGTTTAATAAATAATATTTCTGCTGCAAAACAAACAAAAGATTATAATAAAATATTAAATTCAAGGCTGAAAGCTGCAAAACAGTCATCAGTAGCCTAACTAAATAAAAAAAATAATATACACCTCAAGAAAGAATAGGCAAAAGAAAGTAAGTAAAGTCTCACTTCTATCACTCTTTAAAAGTTTTGGTTTCAGTTTGTGTCAATTTAAATGTTCCGTCTGAGCTGATTTTCATTTTTCTGTGTTTGTGGAAAAGCAGGCGAGTCAGCCGACCCAATTTATGAGCAGGTTGAGCACCGGCGCAATACCGCTGTTTGTTATGAGACGCAGTTTCAGTGTAAACTTAGTAAAGGCGAGCTTCTTTGGCGATGATACAGTATTAGATTTGACTTTTAGCGGACATTTGCGCTGAACACGCAATGAATGCAACGCATGATGATTCGGGCACCTTCTCCAAGAAGCGCGTACTCGATTGATCTCAGCTGGCGGATCAATATTCACCACGTGTCATGATCGCTCTCATCTGCGCCTCAACTTTAGGTGGGGTTTGCACTTTGCAAACCTGCGTGCTTTAAGTTTTCACTCTTTAGCCGTTTGCATTTCCCGTGGACATAAAAGCTCCCTCCCTGTAATCTAACAGTGAAAAGCCTTGGGTGATTGACAGCTAATATGAACCAATATAGCGGCAGGGAAGAGCGATTCAGCACGTTTTTAAAAAAAAATCAAAACAGGTCGCACTCATGCGCCCAAATTTACTATGAGGTCGCATCGATAAATTTTCGGGCGCATATGCGACCAAAATGGTCGCAATTTCGAGCCCTGTAAAGGTTTGAAACTACTTGAGGGAGAGTTAACAGTGAGTAATTTTTATTTTGTGTGAACTATCCCTTTAATAAAGGCTCATTTTGAGGACTCTAATGTTGATTGGTGCTAGAGGATACACTCCGATGATCTTGGAGGACATGGAGGTCTTGGCGGCGTTGAGGAGACACTCTCTACCCAGGTCATCTGTGCCGATGGTGAGATTCTCATTAATGTAGCGGACAGCCTCCCTGTGAAACACAGCAGATTAGATGGTTTAAGTGAGGCTCTGTTTATACATGATATGACTGGATTAATTTACAGTTTACACCTGCTTTTAAAATCAGTGTCTTTTGTCCACTTTCAGACACTTTTCTGATTAGGGAGGATGTATATTTACTTTCTAATTTTACTTTAAATTGCTTTAAAAAAATAATATATACAATTTTTACTTTTTTGTTGTTGTTGTTTAATATTATTAAAATTTAAAATACAAAATAAATGATTAAGCAATTAAATATATTATTAAAAATAGCAAATCTATTTTATAAAACTGAAAAATGCAGGTAAAAATCTATTTACCCCCCCCCATTAGTTGCTAATGCAGCATTTACATTTTTACATACATAACTGTCCACATTTATATCTGTTTTGTGAATGTTTAAGACCACAAAGTAATTACACAGAGTGCCTTTAGAAATAAAAAGTGCAATTCTATACAAAAAATCTTGAATTTTCATCACGCAAAAAGGCTGACCATGCAGCTTTTTAGTGACTGAAACAGCATCCCTGCGCTGCTTTGCATTTGAGGCAATTAACAACAAAACATTGAATAAAACACTCAGCGAATTAACAAAACACAATTCAGGCCACTGCTGGTGTTCGTCACTGGTGCTTTATGGCAGTTAAGGTCTTTGCACAAGGAAATGCAAAATGTTTATATGCGTTTTTTTCGTATTCCTATGGGAAAAATTCAAAGGAAGGAAAGAGAAGAGGAATAGGCTACATAATGTGTTCATCCAATACTAGCCTACATAGAGAGGAAGGAGAGTTTTCGTCAAAGAGCTGCGCTGGATGATCCCCAAATGCAAAGTTTATTTTTAGGAAATCAGTGGAACTTTGATACATTGCTTATGATACTTCACACGTTTCCGTACGTAAACAAATCCTAAAAAAGACTGGCAGTATCTATAGACATTGTAATAGATGATGGCCACGTTGACGTATCGGAGCAACGGACTGAAGCGATTATGTCTCTGCGTCAAATGTATGAACTGTCAAAACATCTCTCAAAAATACTCTTTCGGATGCGAAAAACAAAGAAATAAAACAAAATAGAAAATTTGAACCCGGATTGAATTTTTTTTAATGACGAACGAAAGTTTCGGAGGCAGTGTGTCAATACAATTCACACAACATGAGGTCGAATTTATTTTTAACGTGCAAAAATTACGGATGAAAATGTCGGATTTGGTGTGCAATAACCTTTAATATTGGTGTAAATAAGATGAAATCCATTTTCGACTACCTTATAAAGGGGCTGACAGTGGACCCTGTTTAGGCCTGAATTGAGTGTCTACACATAAACAAAAATGCATTTTTTTTCCAAAATTCACAGCAGCAGGTGTAAATGAGGCCTGAAATGTCTTGTGAATCATGCTTGAACACACAGGTCTTCCTGTCAGCAAAGGAAATGGCTCTTACTTGCAGGCCAGTCTGTATCCGCTGATGATGGAGGTGGGGTGAATCTTCTGTTTGACCAGCTCATCCGCACTCTTCAGCAGCTCAGCCGCAATGATCACCTACACACACACACACACACACACACACACACACACACACACACACACACACACACACACACACACACACACACACAGGTTTTCCTCAACAAGCTCACACTTTTACTGAAATTCATTCATCTGATGATGTATACATGATGCTTTGCTTGTTTTGTCCTCTTTCCTATAGACAAATGTCCTAATGAGGATGTATCTCGTATTGTGATTCTCAAAAACACGTAAGAACATGCATAGACCCTTTCCACAAACCTGTTATGATGTGTTTAACGCTCATCAGCATCTTGAATCCTTAAAAGGCTTTACTATTTTAATAATAATTAAAAAATAAACAAATGTATGAACATTTATATGTGTTTATGTGTGCATTAAATCAACATTGCATCAAATTACAGAGAAAACTAATTATGGCTTGTGTGAGGTGTTTGTAATGCAGTAAATTTTAGAGCTGTGAACCTACACTAGTCTCACGGTTCGGTTACGATTATCATGCCATCGATTCGGTTCAATTCGATATTTCGGTGCATCACAGTGCATTGACGATGCTTTCCATACACAGTTTTATATTTTCTTCACAGCAGCAGTTCTTGTATTAAAATGTATGAATATATTTATATTTATATACTATTTGTAATACAATTTTGTCGTTTAATACAAACAATCAGATATATAAACTGTAACTTTAAACAAAACGAGCATTAAGCAAATGATATAAACAAATATAAATATCCAGCTCAATTTCTAATCCTTGTCTAGTTCTCTTACACCTCTTTGATTGGTCACACCCTCAACAAAAACAGTTGCGATTGGCTCTTGCGCGCTGCGCTCTTCAGATAAGTGACATTGATAAGCGGCAGGCGGCAGCGGCGATCTCACAGCTGATGCATGATAGACACGGTGGAGAAAACTCTGCAGACACACGCTCGTTTCTGTATCCAAACATAATGCTGTAAAACAGCCGAGAGGAGAAGAAAAGCCACCCCAGCAGGTCAAAAGGGCCACTGTGTGTGTGTGTGGTAGAGATGCGCGGATGGGCTATTATTTCATCCGCAACCGCATCACAAAACTCATCATCCGTCCGCCATCCATCCGCACTAATATTTTTGACCAAATTTTAAAACCGCACCCTCCCGCCATCTGCTGACTGAGCTCTTTATTTGAATGGCTTACTCCTTTTTAATATTAAATGAATGTTTCTTTATTGATTATTAGAAAAAAGAGAATGACTTTAATGACATGCAGTTAATTCAAACGTGCAAGTCAAATCCAGCATTAATTGACGCTTTGAAGTGAGGCTAAACAATACGAGGACGTGTCTTTTCACTTGATTCAATTCCTCGGCTGGTCCTTGAGTCTTTTCCTTGCGTCCTTCCTTCGCATCCTATAGGGGTGGAAAGACGAGGAAAGAAAGCAAGGAAAGGAAACGAGGATACACAAATAAGAAATGAGAAGCACCCCTATAAAGCTCTCAGAATATCAGCAGTGAACTCCGTCTCCAATTGGCGCACAGGGACAAAAATAAATAAATAGCCTAAATTAAACGCACTGTACTGTACATTTTTTTATTATTATTATTGTAGCCTAGAAAACGCATTTTGACACATCATTTCAACATTCAGACGAGAGCGCCTGGCCTCAATGCGCTCTGCTGCACTGAAGGAGCGCTCGCTCGCAGCACTTGTTGCTGGAATGCATAGAATTCTCTTGGCAAGGTGCTGTAGACGTGGGAATGACTGCCTTGTTTCTCCCAAAAGGAAAGTAGATTTTCCTCTGCTGATTCGTCTATACGGAAGTTTGTAGATGAAGACTTCTGTACTTCATCCAGAATTAGTGTATCCGATTCCTCCTCTCATTCTGTGAAGTCAGTCTTAGGCTTTTTCGTTGGTGCGCCAGCTATGTGTACAAAAACAGTACAACTGCCCGCCACCCGCCCGAATTTAATTAAAATATTATTTTTCGTCACGTCATCCACCCGATCCGCGGTTTATCCGCGGATTCCGCAGCTGTAACCGCCATCCGCTCATCTCTAGTGTGTGTGTGTGAGAAAGAGAGAGAGAGACAGAGCGAGAGAGAGAGAGAAATGGAGTAGGCTACTTTCATTCTCTCTATCAGTAAAATAGGGGCTATTGTTGTATATGTTAGTGAAAGACTGATCCAGCAAACACACACAGTGAAATTGTGCACAGTTTATGAGTTTTAAGTAGTTAGAGTGTTGTAAATACTAGCGATCGCCTCCCTCGCGACAGAGCGCATATGAGGTAAATGACGTCAGTAATAACGGTTATGATTATTACTGATCCGATACCGAATTGTCCGCGTCTGCATCGCGATGCACCGAAGAAACGATTAATTGACACCCCTAGTAGATTTACATTATTGCCGTCATCAGTCTCAGACCATTTTTGTCCTTCTGAAAGACTTGATAACCCCATCAAGTTTTTCTTATTTCAGCAAACAGTATTGTAAACAATATTTGTTATACTCTCACTGCGCTCTGAGTTTACCCAATCATGTCCACTACTGAGAAACCCAGAAACGTGAAAAGTGTCCAGGGACTGAAAACTCAATGTGCTCTCAACCTTGTGGAAGCTGCAGCAGAAGCTCTGCATTTCCTGAAGGTTCCGAGAGGGTTTCTGTATCCTGTTAGCATAGCCACACACACCGACGCAGCTCAGATGGATGGTACTATAACAGGAAAATCTGCTAATGCACAGCTTCAGCTCACCACTGATGTAGTGCCGTCTCCAACCTCCTTGTCCTGCAGCTCTGCCAGCTCACAGAGGACTTTAGCAGCCGGGTGTTCGACCTCCAGCAGCTTCAGGATGGTGGCCCCGTCATTGGTGATGGTCACGTCCTGAAACACACAAGCAAATGGTCTTAAAAACTTGGATACTAGTTACTCCAACGGGTGAAGACAAGCACTAGGGTTGGGTGTCATTTTCATTCATTCATTCATTTTCTTGTCGGCTTAGTCCCTTTATTAATCCGGTGTCGCCACAGTGGAATGAACCACCAACTTATCCAGCAAGTTTTTTTTGCAGCGGATGCCCTTCCAGGCGCAACCCATCTCTGGGAAAGGGTGTCATTTTAATTTTAGCAATTCCAATTGCTCAAAACAAATCAGTTTATTGACTCTTGGTTCTGACCCCAAAAAAAATTTGCAGGGCGAAAAAACAAAAAGCAGATACTTAAAGGTTTCCCTTTTTATCCTTACCACATTTATACTATAACCAGTAGGATGTAAATGTTAAAGGGTTTCAAACAAGGGCTGCACAATATCGGCATCGATAATGCAATGTGCAAATCTGCAATAGTCACATCGCAGGATTTGCAATGTCAAGTTGGGATTATAATTAACCATAAAACACAATTCAGAATATGTAATTTCTGGTGTGGATGCACAGTTTAACTCTAATCTAATAATATGCAAGTATTTTATTTGGATGGATTTTTAAGGCCCTTTACTGTGTAAACTATACTGTTAAACCCCAAATGAAAACCACAAAGCATGATTAGTTTCATTTTTATTTTTGTTCTGTTGTTTCATCTGTGCTTTAATTTATTTTGTTTTGTATGATTGTGTTTATTTTATGCAGATGCACTCCCCTACAAGTGATTCCAATCAGTATTTAATAAGCATTTATTTCCATATATGGTCGTCTTGTGAGATCATATTCATAACCAAAAACGAAAATATCGCAATGTTCGTTTTTTTCCAATATTGTGCAGCTGTATTTCTAATTATCGAGTTTGTTTGTTCTATCAAAAACTATCTTAAGGAAAGCTGAAACCTGTAACCATTGACTACTATAGAAAAAAAAACAATTACTATTGACCTCATTCTAAAATGCGGAAGTGCGCCTGTTTTCACGATTGTTTTAGAACTTCTGATTCAGTCGCCAATGGGAGAAATGACTAGGAAAAATAAACAGCAGAAAACAGTCAAACTACTTGTTCTACAAACAAATGTTTGCATGACTATACAGACCAAGTAGAATAACATAAGAAAACATCAGTTTGCAACATCGAACAGCAAAACATGCAGTTTTAAATGTCTAAAAATGAATGGAAGTGAATGAGACCGGAAGTCTTAAGCCAAAATGATTCAAATGGCAGCGCCCGCTCGTCTGCGGAGAATAAGGTGAATATGAGTGAATGGTTACAAGTTTCCAGCTTTGCTCAAAGTATGCTATTTTGTGTTAAACAGAAAAAAATAAAACCATTAAGGTCTGAAACAAGTAAAGAGTACCGAATTTTTAATTTTGGGTGAACTTTCCCTTTAACTGTGAGAATGTTATCCTAGCAGCCTGAATGCATTTAATCGTGAACACATACATATATAATATATATATATATATATATATATATATATATATATATA